ACATGCTCCTTGTGTATGGCTAAGCTTGAGGTAACGAAAGAGCTGCTAGTCGGTTGTATCATGAACATTTTCTGCAACGTAGCATGCCATCACACAAACTTTTTGCCCAAGTTACGCAGCAGCTCCGAGAAACAGATACCTTCAATGTGAGGAGGCAGGACTGTAGTGCTCCATGGCAAAGCCGCACTCCTGAATTTGAAGATATACTGCATCATGTTGAAGAGAACCCATCAATGAGTACTTGAACAATTGTGTGTACAATGGGTGTTAGTCACAGTATCGTCTGGGGCATTCTGCATGAGCAACAATTACGTCCGTACCACTTACAAAGGGTACAGGCTATGGGTCCAGCCTATTTTCCACAACGCATTGCATACTGCACGTGGTTCCTGCACCACTGCATTGACACACCCCTCTTTTCACATCAAGTTCTGTTCACAGATGAATGTAAGTTCACTAGGGGCTGTGTTCTTAATTTGTGAAACAGCCATGTCTGGTCAGACGAAAACCCTCATGCCACATATGTTCATGGATTTCAGCACCAGTTTGGTATTAACGTGTGGGAGGTATTCTGGACAGTCATGTGATTGGGCCATACCTCTTTACACTCAAGCTAACTGGTCCTGCATACTTGATCTTCCTATAAAACGTATTTGACCCATTCTTGGAAGCTGTGCCACTGAATGTCCATCAAGAAATGAGGTTTCAGCATGATGGTGCACCACCTCACTTTTCACGTGTGGTTCGAAGACATCTCAACAGACAATGTGGTGAAAGATGGATAGGCTGAGGTAGTCCAACTGTGTGGCTGCCATGATTACTGGATTTAACGCCTACGGACTACTTCTTGTGGGGTCGTATGGAAAGTTTAATTTACAAGACTGCTGTAGAAACAGAGGAAGATCTGTTGGCATGAGTTATGGCTGCTGCACTAGAAATTGAAGAGACACCAGGTGGGATGGAGAGTGTGTACCAGAACATGCTTCGTAGGTACAATATCTGTAAGAATGTTGATGGTCGCCGCATCGAGCTGCTGTTGTAATATATCAGTACTGTTCTGTATATACAGTACGCTGGGTTCTTTTTTGTTTTGGAATAATGTAAACATGTAAAGTTTAAGTTTTAATAAAAACAAATGTGCTTAAGTGATAAATGGATGTTTCATTATGTTTCCTTTCGAATAGTTACCTAATAATTGCACTGCATCATGGCTAATTCAAATTCTTCAAGCAGAAGTGGAAGAGTTAAACATCTGAATTGAAACCGTCATAGAACAGAAATTGTACGTATCTGGATGGGTTCCTAATCAAAATATTATCTATTCGCTTCCCTCTACAAGTCCTAGAAGTTTGTAACAGGAATTTCCGAACACCCTGTATATACTTTTAAGTTTCATATTATCATTATAACTTTCAGTGTAATTTTTCTATATTATATCCTAATAGCTCACTGTCTATTATAATACTTAGTTTGCAATGCTGTTATTTAAAAATAGTAATAATAATATAATTACAGTTTCAGTGAAAAAAATTTCTTGGGCTACTTTACTGACTTTACAATTGTTAAATAATCTCAATTACATATTTCTAATACAGATTTCCTTATTCATAGTGTTAATTTTGCCAAAATTCCACAACAGTTTAATACAGTTTCTATGATGAAAATTGGAATATATTTAGCAAACTGATTTCTATAAACTATATGTATTTGATTTAAAAGACTACATATTATTCACAATTAATTCAAATACAGTAGAACCTCGAAAACTCGTCCCTCGATAACTTAGCACTCCGGATAACTGGTCCACACCTTGGCAGGGCGAAAAAATCCTTAGTTAATTAATTTTCATTATAGACAGCTTTATAAAAGTATAAAAGCTCTCATAAAGTATTTTTCTGAGGTCTGTCTTATCAGGTAAATTACTGTACACAGTGTATTCATTAATTTTCATTTTCATGTAGTGGCTCTATGCCTTCATAAAGGACGTACTTTTCCTTTGTTTAAGGGTATTTGGGCAGTTTATTCTCTGTTATATTCTGCTCAAGTAAACAATATACAAGTACAGTACAGTATTTTCTGAGGAAATA